ATGTCTGCGTTCGAGTTTATTACCGGAAAAACCACATAACCACAATAATTACTTATTTCTCAACAAATTTATTCAAAACTGCAAGAAATTTCTCGTCCATTTCCAGTCTTTCTTTATGTCTTTTGGCTTTTGCTTCCTCTTGTTCAGTTTTTTGATGTAGCCTTCTTTTTAAAAGACTGCACACGTTTTCTTTTCCTTTCAATGTCTCTGTTCTTTTGCACATTTTCTGCTCACTTTCTGTTGATAGCTCTAAAAAAATTATTAAATATTTTAATAAAATTTAAATAGTTCAGATATTTATCATTTAAACTGAATAAATGCAGTGTGACAATTATAAAAATAATCAGATTTAAAACTAAAAAAATTATAATAAACCATTCATAAACTAATAATAATAAACTAATACTAATAATAATAAAATAATAATCATAAACTTACCAGATGTAGAATCTATATCGACAAATTCTGCAGCTTTTTCCTGCTTAATAGAAAGTCCCGTTGATGATGCAACAGCAACTGGAGAGCACCAAGCTCTTTTTGAAAACATTTCATCCATAATCTACAAAGAATATATGTATTAGCAATAGAGGAAATAAAATGTTGAATAAACCTTTTTATTATATTTTTAATCCAGTTTTACCTCATAAAACTGCCAAGGTCGCCTATCATTGCCCGATCGATTATTATGCTCTTTCGTGCTTTTGTATGCTTTTTTCAGGCTTCTTAGTTTTGCCGCACATTGTGGTCCTGTCATTGTATGTCCTTTTTCCACAAGAATTGCACTAATTTTTTCCCAGATCTTTTTGTGTGAATATTTTCCGTTGCTAAACTTATCTTGAAACGTTTTATATGTTTCTAACAGTAACAGCACAGCAGCTGTTGACCACCTATAGGTAGAACCTGAAATGAGCACTAAATAATGTAATCAACTACTTAAATCAATGTTTATTAAAAACTGAATGAACAAATGCTTTAACGTACCACTGTCTTCAGTGTTACTTATATTCATTTCGGTATTCGTCTCCGTTTGTGCTGATTCTTGACCCATCGTGGAAATGGTTTGTTGGCTTGGAACTAATTCGATAGAATTTTCCACATTTTTTTTCGAATCTTTTTCTTTTAAAGCTGCATTTAATAAAGATGTTGCAAAGGTCATGTCTAAAATCAGAGAACATTACGTTAAAATATAAAATATTATTCAACAAAGGTTAAGTATGTTAATGTTTCATAATATTCAAAAACATATAACTTACCTTGCTGTGCACGTAAAAAATCTTCCGGAGAAAGATTAATATCTACTACTATATCCTTTTCCGGGTCATATAAAGAAACTTTTTCCATTATATATAGTCCCGGGTTAACACAAAAAGAAATAACCTGAACGATCTTCTACTTCTTCTTCTTTAATTTTCCTGGCACCTGATTTCTGCCGAGACACAAATATCAATATCTTATGCCCCCTGGAGCGAGGTTACTTCAAAGCGTGCTACCAGTTCGCGAATCTAACCTGATCTAACCTGAACGACCGCGCCGACCCACCTACGAACCATGAGCGCCGTGAGCTCGATGCGGTCGCGATCAATGACGTCACTTATGACGTTTTGAACGCGACCACGACGATCGCGGTCGTTATGTGGAACAGGTTTGGAGGCGTTGCGAGCGTTGCGGTCGATAAGTGGAACGCACCCTAAATAAATGTAGCGCGGTAATGGGAAAGGACTTGTTCGCTCTCGCTCGCAATAGACACCGTCGTCTCTCGTAAAGCAAGTTGTCGCGAATCTGAAAAGGGAACTGTGATTATTCGAGAACTTTATTGTAGACTCTTTGTGAAAATAAACTTATCGTTATTAAAATCAGAACTCTGTCGAGATACAAAACCGATCCTCCCGTTCCTGACCAACCATCGCGCGCGCTCAAACGCTATTAATACTGTTTCCTGTATTATTTTCCCAAGTGTTCCATTTTTACGTATTAAGCACACTGTTTCTTTTTCCTGAAATACGTTTATTGGTAATTTAAAAGTTGAATATGCCGTTCTTCCGCCACTGAGCAGAGTTGCTGCAATACCTGACGATGCTACAGCCAAAACCCTTTCCCCTTTTGATTTCACATTAGCCATTATTAAATTTAATAAAAATGTTTTACCAGTTCCTCCAGGAGCATCCAAGAATAATACTTTTCCTAAATTATTGTTTACACTATCCATAATTCTGTCAAATGCCATTTTTTTGATCAATTACTAATATTTGAAGATTGTTACGTACATATTCCTCTAACTCATTCGTATCATATGAACATTCTAAAATCACATCGAATGAGTTTATGTTATTTTCTTGGTTACGTATTGGTGACATTAAACCGTAATCTACCAAATATTTCTCACTTAGTCTAACAACTTCATCCTCTATTTTAATTAGACCTTTATTACTAATGTCATCTGATAATGTTAAAGTTATGTCATTATATCTACAACGCTCTTTATGTAAAATATCCTCACATAAATTTAATTTAAATGTTTCCCACAATATAACTGGTCGCGACGGCTGACAAAATACTAAAATAATTGCAAATAATTCTCTTAATTCTCTCGGCGACTGCAATTCAACAGCATCAGCGAGTGTATTTTTCCATTGATCAT